ATCATCCCAATTAAAAGAACCAAAGACTTAAACTACTTCAGTCTGTGTGCATTGAATTTATTTAATACACGAGTTTCACAATTTGAGCTGAATTACTGAAATGAATTAACTTTTCCACGACGTTCTAATTTATTGAGATGCACCTGTATGTCGTTGCTCTAAATGACACAATAGGCTACAAACCAATTGGCATATTTCAAAAGAAAGATACACTTATCATTTTGCTAGTCATTTTGCTAGCAAAAATGTTTTACACATGAAATTAATAACACTTTTGAGAAGCATTTATGTTAGCAAACATACTGAGAGATAAGAAGACTCCTAAGACTTCTCATTAAGACTACATGGTGCAGGTCGCCTCCTCATGGGTGGTGCCATGTTGACAGCACATGACCAGCAATGTAACGCATTTTCACTTTACAAAATATAAAACTTGAGATGGTGTGTTGGCACAGGCACAGGTCCTCTAATAAATTTTGGTTATTAGAGGAATTATGCTTAGCATATTTAAAATTAATACAGTTACAACCAGTGTTGGGGAAAGTTACTTTTAAAAGTAATGCATTACAATATTGCGTTACTCCTTAAAAAAGTAACTAATTACGTTACTTAGTTACTTTTTATGGAAAGTAATGTGTTATATTACTTTTGCGTTACTTTCGCGTTACTTTTTAAATATAAGCAGGGCTTGATTGTTTTTAATATAATAGTTCTTTCAAAATAAATATGTTTAGTTGGATTAACACAATTTAGTTGGTTTAGGTCAAATTAATTTACTAGAGTATGTTTCCTTCTATTACATTTGTCAAACTAAATTTTCTTATGTGGGACCAATTTATTTACTTATTTAATTTTTTACTGAGGTTTAATTTATTTTCTCATGTTTAAACAAGCAGTTTTGTTCATCATTATACAAAACATATAGCGAACAATGTATATAATGGGGAAAAAGGAAAGACTGGTGTCAATAATGGCATTAGAACACTTTTTACTCACTGAGTGGCCAAAGCCTGAGCACAAGTGCCACACTTTAGCATAATGGACAATCCACAGATTTCTAAAACATCACAGAAGCTCCTCCAAATGTCTAACATTAAACACAAACATGGCTTTCTCTTTACTAACAGACACACACACACACACACACAAAGATTAATGTATTTATAACACAAATTAAGTAAATTTACATTTCAAATATATTAGGTGGCGTAAACACAGTGTAGGGGGCTCCAAGTCTCAAGTCTGCTTTAATGTAGTCATGAATTGCGTATGGAATGTGGCATTGGTAATGTGACATTTTTCTTCATTAAGGGTATCCACAGGATTTTCAGTGAGCAAAATAATGGGCAGGAGTTGATTCTACCAGTAGGAATATACTGTACATGCTTGCTAAAAACAGTTTATTAGTAGCTACCTAGTTATTACTACCCAATAGCCCAAGCAGCCTAAGTGGCATAATTTAATTTATTAAATGGATTAAATGTATTAATCTGGATTAAAGATAGCAAAGCTAAACTATTTTTGTGGCATAACATGCATCCACTATATAAACAATAAATAAGGACAGTTTTGATTTCATGTTGACCTTAAGTGTTCAAATAATATATATGTATGTGCATGAAAGATTAATGCTTGCCCCTTGGCCTAATCTAAATTTGTGATCAACCTCCCAGAGCGCTGAAGCTAAACTGGCCTACAAAGGAATTTAACAAAGAGTCATATGAGTCATATTGTATACTAGCATCCTTATTCAAACTTCCTTGTGCTTTTTTCTTTTATTTCTTTTACAGCACCTTCATTGTGTTTGTGTTTCAGATGCTCTTTGTATGAAGTCAAGGTTTGACATTCAAATTGTACAGTTCAGGATTGTATTTCTACAAGCCTTCATGTGAATGAACCTCAGCTACATCTAATCTAAACTTGTTATGTGGTAAATATTGAGAGATTGTTTGTTTATGATGCATTTATTGTTTGCGTTGCTGTTCAAGAATGACATCACAAGCTTAAACAGAATACACTAGCTTTTTCAAGTATACAGGAGACAATTGTGCTTAAAATGATTGGATGCTAAAAAATCAAGATGATAAAAAAAACAAATGGCATTGTTTAAAGCTTATGAAAAGAGTGCAAAGAATAATTAAGTGCTTTCTATGCTTGCAGGCGTAACACACTGTACTGGCTCATGGCTGGTAGGCTGCCGCACAAGCCCCCGTTGCTGAGGCTGGGCACTGGGGCCCAGAGGCCATAAAGGTGGCTGATGAAGAAGCAGATTGACTTGGCCCTTGGTACCTTGAGGAGGAAGAGAAGAGCAAGGTGTATATGAGGACAATTCATTGCAGATTTCTGGGTAGCAGTTGAATAATAGATGATGTGCAGGATACTAACCACGATCTGGCTTTCATGACCCGGGATGCAGTCGTCCTCTTTCTATAAAGGCCAAAGTCATGTATCAAGTCTTGGGTCCTTATATCTGACCTCTGAAGGTCCAAGGGCACCATGGTGGGTGGAGAAATGTCCAGTTCCAGAAGCATAATGTTCTCAGCCTGGGACAACAAAATATTTTATTAAGGTTTCAAAAGAATATACACTACAGTTAAAAAAAATCATTTTATTCATCAAGGGCACATTAAATTGGGCAAATGTGACATTTATAATGTCAAATAAATGCTGTTCTTTTTTCAAAGAATCCTGAAAAAAGTATTGCCGTTACTACAAACATTAACTGTTTTTAATATAGTAATAAGAAATGTTTCTTGAGCACCAAATCAGCATATTAGAATGATTTCTGAAGGATTATGTGACACTGAAGACTGGAGTAATGATGCTGAAAATTTGCCATCACATGAATAAATTACATTGGAATATTTATTAAAGGGGTCATATGATGCGATTTCAATTTTTCCTTTCTCTTTGGAGTGTTACAAACTCTTGGTGCATAAAGAAGATCTGTAAAGTTGCAAAGACTAAAGTCTCAAATCCAAAGAGATATTCTTTATAAAAGTTAAGAGTCAACCACGCCTACCTAAAACGGCTCGTTCTAACACGCCCCCACATATCTACCTCACTATGTGGGAAGATTTGCATAACACCGCCCAAATGTTCACGCGAAGAAAGAAGGCGTAACTTTTTGAGCAGTGTAGAGTAGCGTGTAGTTTGTCATTTCTACAAAATAATGTTCTTTTTAGCAGCATTATATGACCCCTTTAAAATAGAAAAGGGTTCTTTTGAATTGTGATTGAAATTTGAAGTTCACAATATTACTGTTTTTACTGCATTTATGTTGTTCAAATAAATGCATCCTTGGCAAGAACCTTAAAATAAGTCTTACCAACCTCAGACTTGATAATGGTAAAATATTTTTTGTTGCTGCTAAATTCACTGAAAATGTTATTATTATTTTTAAACAGCAATATTTTATATTTAATGTTTTATTCAATAATGATTACAATTTTTAAAAATTACTTTATCTTTTTACAATACCAACCCTGTATCTAGAAGGAGACCCGGTTGCCACGGCAGCTTGAGCATATTGACTAACTGGTCTCTTGTATCCCACTACAGAAGTTGGCCTTCGTCGGACGAGAGGTGAGTTACTGGAAAATGAGAGAAAATACAATATCTTCAGATAAGAACATCATCCTCATGGTCCTGTAATGCCTTGAACAAAGTTGTTCTTTTACATACTTTTCTGAAGGGAGAAGAGGTAAGACTTTCCACTGGTCTTCCTCGCTATCAAAGTGGAGACGATTTATGATCTTATTCTTTTCCTCTGGAGGAATGAAGTTCTCAATGATCAGGTTTCTAGTAAAAATACAAAGGGACAAGTGACAAAACCAAAACCATCATGGCACGTACAGGAGTTCTGTTTTTGTATAGCTTATTTCAGAATAAAACTGCCAGGACAGGTGGAACATACTTGAATTTCATCTCTCTTGTCAGCTCATTCATTGTCTGCTCCAGTTCCTGCCTCATTGTGACATGTTCATTGATGATATCTCCAATCTCAGACCTCACCAGCTGCAGCTTACTGTAAAACTGAGATGAACGACCAATGCAGTGTTGACAGAGGTGAAAATAAGACTAAATTATAAGCATTAAACACAACTGCTGGGTTAGTTGTGCTTTCTTTATGAGCGTCAAATACCCATGTTACGAACATCATTTAAAGAAGTGAATAAAAACAGTACACTCCAATGAACGGTGGCCTTGAAAATACATTGATTGAAAATTGACTGAATGATTGATTTTGATTAATAAAATTAATTGAACTGATTGAAAAAACACAAGCTAAAAGGAAAT